AGCTTAGATCTATCAAAATCAATTAGCACACATCTCATATCTAAAATATTTTAATTTTCATTAAGATATTCAAACATAATGTTTTATGGTTTTAAATCTCGATGAATTATTTTTCGACAATGAAGTCCTTTTAATGCCAATATAATTTATATTATAATATGCAACAAATCATTTAGATTTAAAGCTTTTTTACCTATTTTATTATTTAAATCCTCTAAAGTTAAATCATAATATTTCATAAATAATAATTATTCATCCACATAATTACTATAACAAAACATATTTGTACAATTTTCAGAATCATTAACTAATTCTAATAATTGAATTTCCCTATTTTAATATTCAATTTAATCCTTATCATATTTAAGCCATTTAACAATAATTTAATTTCTTTAATTATTTATAAAATAAGGTGTCTAAATGAGATAAACTCTTGACTATTTTTTATCATAAATAGTCTTTAGTATTTTAAAATTAAAAATAACTTTTAAAATATTTGCTACAGGAATAATAACTTTGCAGTCATTTTTTTTTTCTTCAAAAATGTTTTATATTAATTCCTCAATAATGTTTTCTACATAATTCTTACCTTCAAAGAGCTTAGAATTTAGATTAAAACCTAATTATAAAACTATAGAATAACTGAATATAATTACATAGTTTTTATAGTATTTAATTAGCTGGAATCTATTTTTAAGTTATATTTTATTAATCTTCTTCAAAAATAAATACATTAGTATCCTCTTAATTTTTATTCAAATATATTTAATCAAGTCTCAAACTTATAAGAAATTTTGGATTTCTTCTTTCACATTCAGATACCACTTTTAATAGACAATTTTTTTACATATTGTTACATGAAACATTATTTGAGATAATTATTACACTGTTAATAGCCCTTTCTTAATTCTATCTTTTAAATTTTCTAAATCAAAGGAAATATTTTTTGTCTTTAACACTCCTTTAATTAATATGGGGCAATTCCTTCCATTAATTATATAATTCATCTATAATAGAATTTATAAATATTATAAGTTTTTTAAGTGAAATAAAAGTCTTATTTAAGGATTAATAATGTTATGATTTATAAAATAAATAAAACTTAAATTTCAATAAAAGTCTGCACTTTTTAATTTATTTATAACCTCTCTGGTAGCAGGCCTCAAATTCGAATCATATTTTGCCATATCAGAGATTATATCATGCATTAAAACACTATCTGTTAGTTTGTTCAGCATTTTTTTTAAATGTTTTTCATATTTTTCCTTTGTTTTTTTTTTGATGAAATTAGGATCTTCTTGTGTCATTAGGAAATAGAAACACATTCCCAACTACCATATATCATAGCTTTCATCAAAAGGTTTCCCATTCATATTTTCTGGTGGTTAATAGTATGGAGTCCCTTTAAAATCATCTTTTTAACCTTTTTCTATATTTGATTCGAAATCTATTATTGACCATTCAAGTTAATTTATTTCATTTAAATTTTCTTTTGTAATCTCAGAGTTTTTATGAATTACCATGATATTTTCTGGTTTTAAATCTCTATGAATTTTATTTTCATCATGTAATTTTTGCAATTCAATTGCCAATTTGCAACATATTCTCCTTTTATTCTCAATATTTATAATAATATCTTTAAATTCTGTACAATATTCTTTCAAAGTTAAGCTGTATTTTTTTAAGAACATGAGAGTAGAATTTTATATATCTAAATTGTAACAATAAAGTTAGGCTGAATTAAATGTCTGTTATATATTTTTTAGTTCTTTATAATTAATAATTTCTGCAAATCTCTTATTTTAATCATTTACATGAATCCATTTTACAAGAATTTTCTCTGATGATATATCAAGATAATAAGGGGTTTCAGCATGAAATATCCAAGTTATATTATTATTATACTCCTTACAATAAGTAATTTTAAGTCCGTAAATAATTTCTAGCATTTTTTATCTCCAACTAAAATCATTTAAATTTATTTTTAAATTATCTAAAATATATTTTAGTATGGCTTCAAAATTCTAGAAGCTTTTGACATCTATCGACTGAAAGCCGATTCTAATTACTTCAATTAATTTTTATAAATACATATATTTTTCAATTGATTGAGAATAATCTCTTAATTATTTTTTTCTCCTTTTTTTATCAGGCTTGACTTAATAAAAATATCTAATATTTTATTGTCTTATGGTTCATTTACATATAAATCATTTAAAGTCATGTTTTCAATAAAATTTTATTCTTAATAGATTGTAATCAAAGCTATTCTTAAATCTGAATATTACTTAAAGTTAATTGATAAATCAATTTATAAATTATTTCAACGGGCAATAATCCAACCTTTTGAATCATTTCATTTAATCCAATAACCTTAAAATGATTCATATTATCTTGTAGAATTCCTTTTTAGAAAATCATTCTTTTTTCTATTAAAAATATTTATAATGCATAAAAAAATATTATTTAATTTTTTATGATCAGAAATTATAAATTTTATTCTATGATATGAAATTTCGTATCCATTTTGATAATTTTGAGGAAGATCAGATCAAAACTTAATTAATTACTCTATAACAAAATCTATTATTTTTACTTTATTATTCAATTTTATTTTGGCATTCTATTTGTTTCAAAAAGAATCATACAAAATAAACTTAATTTTCCCATTTCTTTCACTAATTTTAGTAAATAAATTTATATAAAATTAACCCTGATATAATACGATAAACAAAGAAACAAAATTCTACATTTTAATAAAATAAAAAGCACAAGAAAACAACATAAATTAAATTGCAATGGTAAATTTTTTTGTAAATTATAATTTTAAAATATTAGAATCATTCTAAATTTCCTCTTTTTTAAATATATTCTAATAATTTTTCTCTTGCTTATTTTTCTGATGATGCTCTAATTCTTTAGTAAACTTTATATGAATATTTGTCTCTCAATACATATAGATTTTATCCCTCAATTGGATCTTCATCTGTCAAAGCAATTTCAAATTCGGCTTGGTTTTTAGCTTTAAAATATCTAAATAATCGATCTTAAGGATTATTCAATATCTAATTGGGTGATGTAAAATGTTGCATGAAAGGAAGTAATAATTTAAGAACAATTTATTTAGTTAGATCGTAATTAAATGTAGAGTCTACAAAAATAGCTCCAACAATAGATTCAAAAATATCACCTAATATTTTAATTATTGGTTCTGATGTGTACATCTTACTGATATCCTCATAGTAATCATTATACATTGACTTAATCTTATTTAAAGTTTAGTGATTTTCATGATTTAATTTATGAAGGGTTGGATGCAATAAAAATTAATCTAATTTATAATGGATGGTAACTAAAGCAAGCGCTTTATTGCAAACAACACACTGTTTTTTTAAAGCTAGATCTTCAACCTTTTCCTTATTATATTCTTTGACTAACCATTCAACTACAACTGAATCCAATACTGAGTCCCCTAAAAATTCTAATCTTTCATAACTCATATCAATTCGATTTTAATTTTAATTTAGTTGAGCTAGTAATGATTCATTTACTTGATCATTATTTAATTTATTAATCTAAATAAGATTTTTTTAGTTTTAAAACTCAATAAAATTACATTTTTTTTTTTTATAATTGTAGTAATCCAAAACTTCAAGGAAAGATTGATAGGTAATGGCTTAAATCAAAAGAGATTGATCATTGAATTTATATCCAATTATATTTTCTAGGGAATTTAAATTCTTCTGTAATATACCTTTTGCTTATTAAGTTCTTGAATTTTTTATCCTGACTTAGGCTACAGGTTATTTTAATACTCCTAAACGGTGTAAAAAAAACTAGCAAGCATTAATATCTTCATCATACTAAATTAAAAAGGCTCCATTTATAGCTTCAACTACATCTGAATGAACCTTTTCAGGAATTGGCTAATAATTTTTTGGTAGATCATTTATAATTTCTCCATTTTTTGTATACTAAAATTTTGTATTTTACTTATTATCTTGTTATTTTTCTTTTAGTTCTTATTATTCTTAATCATTATTAACCTACTCTAGAATAAATTCTGGTGGTTAATAAGCAAAATTTGTGCACTTTATATAATTAAAAAATCTATGAATAATTGAAAACTTCCTTAAATTTTCATTTGAGACTATTTTAGCTCGTTCTATATGTAACAAATGTTCATTAGCAAAAGGATATTAAACAAATACTTCAATACTTGAAAGTAGTTTTAAATTGGCATCTCCTAAAAATTCTAAAACTTAATAATTTGTTTAATCATCTTAATTAAATTATTGAGATTAAAAACACTTATTTAATAATTCATTGTCTATATCATGAATGGAGTAATTAAATTTTCTTTCTTTTAAATTATAATCTTTAATTTAATTTCCAGGATTTAACTCTAAATTTTTATTAAATTAATTCAAAAGATCTTAAAATTCTGAAGAATTATTTGTAAAAAATTCAATAATTTCTTATGAATCTTAAACCATAATATTATCCATAACTTAATAAGTCTGTAATTCGCAATCTTTCAAAGATAATCCTGTTGAATCTAATAATTTAGAAACGTGAGATTTAAATGTAAAAGACACCAAAAAATCTCTTAATTGTTAGAATATATGTTTAGTTAAAATCCTCAACTCTAGGATAGATAAAACACCTAAGGGGTATTTATAAAATTCTCCTGAAAAATATTAATATTTAGGCTCTTTTAATTTGTTTTAGGTTATTATCTCTCTATTTTAAGAAATGTGAAATTTTAGAAATTTTCTTAAAATTGGGGCTGCATACATATCTTTTTCATTTTCAAAATGAAAATTTATAACTTATTTTAAACTTCTTTATACAATGCCTAATTCTTTTTAATATTCTTTCTTTTTTTCATTATCTAATCTTTCTAAGTTTTTTTCAATTGGTCTTTTTGAATCAAAAACTACTTTGCTGAAAAAATATTTATCTGTTATATTTTATCCTACAATTCCTTTGAAATTGGCTTCTTTTAATAATTATACAAGATTTCCATCATATTCTAAACTATTCCAAGTTTCTAAACGAATACTTTAATCATTTAACCTTTGTCTTTCTTCTTTAATTTATTGATTCAACTTTTTTTTTTATCTTATAGAATTCACAAACCTAAAGACTTTTTTCATTTTTTCTATGTATTATACAATATTTTCAGAATCTTCATAATTGATATTGGTATCTTCTATTTATAAGTCTTCTACAAGTAAGACTATAAGAGCATATTATTTTTAATCATCAATTAAGTTGAATTATTATTTTTTGCCTTGCTAAAATAAAGCAGATTCTGAGCTGATAGTTTCTTTTGTCAAAAATGAATAAAATGACAAATCCCAATCAAATGAAGTTGCAACTAAAAATTAATGAACTTAATTTAATAGTTAATATTATTCCTAAGTTATCATGATTTTTTTAACAAATTCTAATCTAATTTCTTTGCCTCCTGAAAACTATAATCTTGTGCAGAATTATGAATTATGAAGAAAACCAATAATTTAATTTTTTTCCTTTTCATATCTTATTGCTTAAGGCAATTCATAAAATTTAAATTTGTATAAATAAAGTGGCTATTTAATAGATATTTCAAAAACATCCATTTTATAAGGGAATAATTTTTATCTCAAATCTACTTAAGGTTCCACTTTCAATACAACAATTTCTTCTATTACTTAACAATAATTTGGATCTTTTAAATTTGGATCATTTTTTCTATCAGATACAAAGTGATACGCACTTTTTACTGGTCTTAAGTCATCAGTAAGCATTTGTTTTTATCTTAAAACTAAAACAGCTTTAAATGCTGCTGATCTTTTAGCATCATCTTTAGTTTTCATCAAATCTCCAATAAAATATCTATCAGCAAAATTTTTAGGTAAAATCAAAACACATTTCCATCCCAAAGCTGGAAATTCAGAAAATTAATAAAATATTCCTCTTATGTAGTTTTCATCTTTACTTCTATATTCGAAATTTTTAAATAAATTAGCATAATTAGAAAGAATCTCAATTGCCCAATTTGTGTTTAATAAAGCAAGACTATCCTTTACCAATCGACAATCATAATATTCTTCATCCATCCTTGGTATATTATTTATTTGTCTATTTAAACTTTTTATTCGATTTTACAAATTAGAATATTAGTTTTATTAATTTATTTCAACAATTTTTCTTTCTACACACTCTTTTGTCTTAAATAATACGATTTCCTTAGACTTCCATATTAATTCTTTTTCTTTAGGTAGGATGAAATAAATTGTCGATTTTTTGGCTCTTGCTCTTCCTATTTTTTATATAAATTATTTTAAAGTTGTAATTTCTCCAAAAATGAAAACATAATTACATTATGGTACATCAAAACCCTCTTCAGTTACATTAGTTGAAACCAAAATATTGCAATTTTCTTTAAATTTTTTAATTGATTCTTTTTGGGCATTTGAACTTGTAATTGTCTAATCAAGATTTTTACCATAGTTTTTAATTCCTTCCAAAACTTCTTATAATTATGATCTTAGTTTAATTTTTGTCTAATTATCATCATCATCATTATCTAATTAAATATCATCCTCTTATCCTTCAATGTTGAATTAATTATAAATTTTTTCAGCTATATCTAAAGCATTAATATTTGGAGATAAAGCAATATATTTATTTCTGTCTTTTAAAATTGTCATTTATAAAGCTCCTGATGTCAAATTACCAGTTCCTACAACAAATGTAGATTCTAATTTATGCAACTCTAATAATTAATGTAAATATTTGGCTGTAATTTTGTGATCAACAAAAATTAAGATTTTTTATTGTTCATCTTTGTTTTCATTGTAATTTATTTGATATAATTAATTTTTTAAGGCAATAAATTTTAATGATAAATTTTGATCTTCTAAAATATTCAAAGGCTTTAATATCTCTAAATAATCTAGGAATAGTTTTTTTATATTATCAAGTAATTTTTAATCCTTTTCAGTTCTATATGAAGCTTTAATTTCTCCAAAATTAATATTAAGTTATTTGATAAATTAATATAACGAGTAAGCCCCTAATTCTTTATAAAGAATAAGACCATATAATCTAACAAAATGATACAACTAATCCACTAATAATTAAATACTATATGAAATCTTTTCTTTTTATTTTTAATAATATATCTCTAACCACTAAGCATAAAAATCAATTAATTGTGGATGATTTGGAATATAAGTTGTTGAAATTCCAAAATCTTGTTCAAATGTCAAAACTTTTGAATTATATTCTTTCTTTTAAGCTTCTTTTTCAAAAAATACATATTATGAGTGCAAATTTAATGCCAATTAAAGAATATCTACTTCAATTTACAAGCTTGGTACACTATTTAATCTAACCGCCTTTTCAATATCAACTGATGTGACTGGAGTAGCTGTTAAACCTAAAAATTTAACCTTTTCACTATTTTATATTTGTTTCTTAACTTTTTCACACTCAAAAAATTCTTTAATTATTAATCTATATGAATGTCTAAAAGTACAATGATGGCATTCATCAAATATTATTAATGAAAAATAAGGTAATTTTAAATAACCTCTTCTTAAAGCATTCAATAGCATTTAACCCATCATTACAAAGATACATGATTCACTAATAATTTCATCCCATCTCTCTTTTTTCCAGCCTTGAATATCCATATCATCATCACTTGCAAGTGTGGATTTAGAATGAATAGGTACAATAAATTATCTTAAAAATTATGAATCTTTCAATTGCTAAATATCAAAGTAATGATTTTATGGTGCCAAACCTTATTTTTCCATTTCTTTGGCAACTTTGAATATGTATTCTCTCATAAAGATACATTATTATTCAACCAATTAAATTGTATTAGCTAAAAATATTAACTTTGTATTCTAAAACCCATTCTTTTTGATATAATAATAAATGTGCATTAAAGCTATGTGAGTCTTACCTTTACCAGTTTCAAGAAATATTATTGAATTTTTTTCTTTGGATTATTGAAATAAATCTATCTAATAATCTCTCAAATTAAAGTCATCATTATTATTTTAATATTATTCATCTTATGCGATATTCAAGCCTTCTTCTTCTTATTAATCTGGTTATTTGAACAGTATATCAAATTCATTTAATAATTATTAATCCTCTTCATCATCCTCTTTTATAACTTTGGGTGATACTTGCTCCTCACCACTTGAGATGTTCGAAATATCTACCAAGAAGTTTGAATTTTCAGATATTTATTCATTCATTTCATCGTAAATCATTTATTTTTATTATTATTTTAAATCTCTTTGATGAAATGATCATAAAAAAATATTCAATATAAAATCTGCTCTTCTTTATTTAATCAAAAAATAATAATATTGATAGAATTCACTTTCAACAATATTAATTGAAAAATATATAATTAAAATATTATTTGTAATTTTAGGTCTCACTCATATAGGGGAGGGTTTCCTTATTTTTACATTTTTTTCGCCTTGCATTATTTATGCCAATCTATCAATAATTTCTCCTAATTATTATTTTTTTTTATTTTTTATTCTCTATCTAATGCTAATAAAACATGTTAATCACAAAAAAGCGAAAACCCAAAATAAATGTGTACAGTAGAGGCTATCTAAGTTTAAAACATACATTTACCAAGCAATTGAATCATGAAAAACAACCATAATCATAATCAAATTAGTAATAAAAGATAAAAAAAAAACTTCATGATTTAGGATCTTAAGATGCAAATGTTTAAATTTCTGGATAAATTTTTTATTAATTATCTTCCTATGAATTCTTATTGAAAAAATATTTCAAATATTAAAAAACCTTTTATAAAAAAAAATCCACAAAAGCAGATGAATAGTAAACTCCTCCAAAGTTAATTGCTACTAAATCCTAATCACTATTCATTCATAGTTGTTTGTTTTAAAAAAAAATATATTTTAAAGTATTAAGTTAGATATATAATAATATTTATAAATTCTATTATAGATGAATTATGTTATGAAAGGAAGGAATTGCCCAATATTAATTAAAGGAGTATTAAAGACAAAAAATATTTCCTTTGATTTAGAAAATTTAAAAGATAGAATTAAGAAAGGGCTATTAACAGTGTAATAATTATCTCAAATAATGTTTCATGTAACAATATGTAAAAAATTTGTCTATTAAAAGTGGTATCTGAATGTGAAAGAAGAAATCCAAAATTTCTTATAAGTTTGAGACTTGATTAAATATATTTGAATAAAAATTAAGAGGATACTAATGTATTTATTTTTGAAGAAGATTAATAAAATATAACTTAAAAATAGATTCCAGCTAATTAAATACTATAAAAACTATGTAATTATATTCAGTTATTCTATAGTTTTATAATTAGGTTTTAATCTAAATTCTAAGCTCTTTGAAGGTAAGAATTATGTAGAAAACATTATTGAGGAATTAATATAAAACATTTTTGAAGAAAAAAAAAATGACTGCAAAGTTATTATTCCTGTAGCAAATATTTTAAAAGTTATTTTTAATTTTAAAATACTAAAGACTATTTATGATAAAAAATAGTCAAGAGTTTATCTCATTTAGACACCTTATTTTATAAATAATTAAAGAAATTAAATTATTGTTAAATGGCTTAAATATGATAAGGATTAAATTGAATATTAAAATAGGGAAATTCAATTATTAGAATTAGTTAATGATTCTGAAAATTGTACAAATATGTTTTGTTATAGTAATTATGTGGATGAATAATTATTATTTATGAAATATTATGATTTAACTTTAGAGGATTTAAATAATAAAATAGGTAAAAAAGCTTTAAATCTAAATGATTTGTTGCATATTATAATATAAATTATATTGGCATTAAAAGGACTTCATTGTCGAAAAATAATTCATCGAGATTTAAAACCATAAAACATTATGTTTGAATATCTTAATGAAAATTAAAATATTTTAGATATGAGATGTGTGCTAATTGATTTTGATAGATCTAAGCT